ATTTATTTAAGGTTTATGATTTTCAGTTGCCGCAGCCGGGCACCGTCTTCGCCTCGACGCACTTCTGCAGGTGCTCATCAAAGGCCTGGTGTCGTTCGCAGTTCATCACCGTCTGCTCGAAGCCGCCGAACTCGCCCTTGACGCACTCGTAGTACTTGAAGCAGTACTGGTGGTCGCGGAACTTGCCCTCGTGGTCGCACTTGAAGACGCCGGGCACGGTGGGCGGCGGCGTGGCGGGGTGGGTGACGGGCGGGGAGAGCGTGGTGATGGGCACCTCGTGCACATCTGCCTTGTTGTAGTTCTCGACAATGGCGTGCACCAGGGGGTACTTCTTGCCGCAGGTGCCGTGCACGTCCTCATTGGAGAGCGTGTAGACGCTGATGCCGGCGTAGCCCTCCGTGGTGATGTTTTTCGCCTTCTCCGCCAGCGTCTTCGAGTCCTCGAAGGAGATAAACTCGGCGGTGCTGCCGCTCAGGTGGACGGCGTGCACGGCGGTGTTGGCGTGGTCGCGGATGATCGAGTACGCCGCCGGGTTCTGCTTGATTTGGACACACAACTGAAAAGGTATTGGANTGGACGGCGTGCACGGCGGTGTTGGCGTGGTCGCGGATGATCGAGTACGCCGCCGGGTTCTGCTTGATTTGGACACACAACTGAAAAGGTATTGGAAAAAGGGCTCATTAGAGTATACAGTTTGAAAGGTGGTAGTGTTCAGTTCTGGCTTATTACCTCATTGTAGCTGAGCAGACCCTCGACGTCGGTGTAGGGGCCCTTGGCGCCGCCGCTGACGGCCGCGTCGCCGATGTCCTGGTGCGCCGGACTGGCCAACTTCCAGGTGCGGGCGTACAGCGGCACTGCCATGACCAGCTTGGAGCGGGGCGCCCCGCGCTTGTGGTACTCCTCCAGCGTCTTCAGCTGCTCGGGCAGGGGCGACGCGTGGCCGACCACCTTGGCCCAGGGGCCGGCGTAGTCGATGGTGAGGACGTTGATGAAGTCGACGTACTGGGTCACCTTGGGCACGTTCACCGCCTGGATGGTCACCGTGGAGGCGGGCAGGGTGATGCCCAGCGTGTACGGCGTGGAGGCGAACTTCTCGTCGAACTTGTCCAGCAGCTTGATCAGGTTGTCGCTGTCCTTCTCGGCGATGCCCGACCAGTCGATCATCACGCCGTCGAATTGGTACTGCGCGCAGAAGCTGACCACCGAGCGGGCAATTGCCTCTCGGTACTGGTCGCTGCCCGCCGTCACGCCAAACTGCTCGGACATGGAGGCGCCGCCGATGGCGATCAGCGCCTTTGCGGAGCCCTTTGCCTTCACGAACTTCTCCAGATCGTCTGCAAAAGATCAAGTGTTTACAATGAGGAGTTAAAGGGGATTTGCTTAGCAGGAGTTTACTTACGTAGATCCTTTGACAGGTAGGGGTCTAGCCACTTCAGCTCGTGGGTAGAGGCGTCAATGCCAAAGTACGCGTAGACGATGTGCGTGCACAGGGTGGTGTCTAGGAAGGGGTAAAACAAAGGTGTAAGTGTGTTAGTTTCCAACTAATATAATGTGTGAATGGGTACCAATTTCATTGGGCTCCATGTGTCCATCGCCGTGTCTCCAGTGGACCCAGGACTCGTAGTAGCAGACGGTCTTTGGGTGAGAAGTTGCCTCACTGGAAGGCATAAGGGCCACCACCAGGGCCAATGAGGCCAGGGCAAGAAGGCACAGTTTGGCCATTTTCCGACAGTCAATTAGTTAAGTTTTGAATTTAATACACAACCACTGAATCAATGTGTAAAGAGAAAGAAATCAGTGACAATCCGACACAGTTTTTCATCTCATCTTTATATTGACTTTGCATCAAACCTAATGCAAGCCAAGTTTTGAAGCCTGAGAAAAAGGACAAGATTAGGGCGCAAGTGTGAGCACTGATGGCAACAATAGTCTAATCGTCAAGTGCCATGCAATGCAAATTGATTAGAGAACTAAGCTAATGATAAAACAGATATTTGTACAGGATTTAGATTTAAATCTTGGAAAATTATGCATTTTCAAGGGTAACTTTTATTGCTTTCTAATCCTCTGTTCACCTGATCTTTTTGTGATTGACAAACTAGATGTCCTTTTTTAATCCAGTCCATTGCAACAACAACTAAAAGTAAAAGTGTTTGTAAAACAACAAAATATTTAAAAACGTTGCTTTTTAAAAGCATTTGCACAATAATAAAATTTTTGAATGAAAAATGTAATTGCAAAATTATTGTTCTTTTGTGTAAATAAATTAAGTTAATGTTGGTTGCTTGTTATCTAGAATTATTATTTTACAAAAAACAAACTATGCAAGTTAAGTGTAAATAAAAAACTGGTTTTAAGTTTGCAAAATCTAAATAAGAAAAAGAAATATACAAACAAAACCGAAAACTATAAAAAAATTTCAGACAATACTGTATAAGTTGTGACATTTTGCAACATTGACAATTGATTTTAATCTTTGAATGAGACAAATAGTCAAGTTGCCAGGTTTTCAGAATGCGGACGCTGGCAAAATTGCACATTTGACATTGGATCAACTGTAAGCAAATTGTCCCTCAAGATTGATTCACAACAAATCTAATCAGTGTACTTATAAACAAACTAATACAACATTTTAGATTTTAATTACAAAGTTACTGTAGGTGTTTACCTAGTTAGCATAAATAAAAATTACATTGTGAAAATTGTTGACCTGATAAAAAATAACTTTCAGTGAGATACTTTAACAAGTTTTTGAATGTATAGAATCTATGTAAATACAAACTTAGATGGCTAAAGCTTGAACTAAGTTCTGTTTGGCATCTTCCAGCGTCTGAACAAGTGTACCCAGTTCTTCTTTGGTCAATTCAAAAGACAATTTGTTGTTGAACGGAACAGAATTGTTGACTTTGCTGTTTGGTGATTCAAAAACTAAATCAAGCTGTAGAATTGGCACTTTAACGTTTTGCAGTCTGTCACTTGACATTACCACTTTAACTTGCCAATTGTAGGTTTTCAAGTAAGGCACGTTAAGTGTAATTGTTTTGAACACAATTGCCTTAAAAAGTTCTTTTTGACGCACTTTCAAGCACTCTTGCAGAATCAACTTGGTCTTTTCTTCAAACTAAAAAATGCATGATAAGTAATTTTAAACAGTTTAAAAACAAAAGTTACCGATAAATTTTCTATTGATTTTTCCACATTGTTCATTTGACATCCGAGAAAGTACACTAGCTGGACAAACTGCAGCACAACGTCTTGAAAAACAGATTCAGTTGGCCAAACAGATGAGACAAACTTGTCAACAAAAATTGGGTCGTTTAGGTGATTTGAAACAAAGTTTTGTTTACTGGAATGTGTCTTGTCGCAACACACATCAATGACTTTGTGAAAAAACTATAAAACAAAATTATTATCACGTTTGCTAAACAAGTCATCTAACACAACTTACCGCGTACACATCTCTATCTGGGCAGTTGTTTATGAAATGAGCAATTGGGGTGATAACTGGTGTAGCCATTTTGTGATGATTTAGTGTTTAGAAAATGTTTTGTGTTAAGGAAACAGCTCAATAGACCAAATTTGAGTTTGTTGCTACTCTAACTTTGACAAAAACACCCGAAAACCGACACCGCCGTCAGTGGCATAAAAACTGCAAAAACTATTTTTACTCTTAAGTTTGTTTTGGTTGTGTTAATAGGCAAGAATGCCAATTGCCATAAAAAATCCAATCGATCAGCAATTTTTACTTTTTAAACAAAATACAATGTGTTGAGTCAAATAAATTAAAATTCACTATTGACTAAAAAATTTGCAAGTTTGTTTTACTTTAATTAAACAATAATTAAAATTTTGTAAATATGATCAACAACAAATGGATAAAGTTTGTAGCACTGTTAGCATTTTTGTCAATTCATCTAGGTCAACTTAACACATTTGGTAAAGTTTTTGTTATGTTCAAGTTTTGTTTTTTTTAATTTATTTTTAATTAATCAACATATAGATTTTCAAACAATTTACACGACTGAAACCTTTAATACTCCCTACTCACTGAAACGTTTTGCTGAATACTTTAATCAAAGTGACTACAACAAAATAGAAGTTCTGGCATCACTAAGTAGTTATCCCGATTTGCCAAAATGGATGAACTGGTTTCACCGGCCTAATTCAGAAATCGGCTACTTTTACGGAACGCCTGCAGTGGACAATGATGGAGACATTGATATTGAAATTATACTGCTCGACAAATTCACTTTTAATGTGACCATGGATCGTCTCAAGTACACAATTATTAGTAGAGAACGTGCGTATTTTTAACCATAAAAAGTGCACATTTAAATAACAGTAAGTTTTTTTAAATTTATACAGAAATTTGCAAGAATGAAGCACAGGTAAACAAAAGTTGCAAAACAAAATAAAATGTAACCTTTTGGTATTTGCAGATACAACTTTTCAATCTTGATCTGGAAGATTTTATACAGAAAAACATTTCAGCCCCTGTTTTGGACATATTTCGCAAAAAACTTTGGCAATCTGATCACGTTTACATCACGAATATGGCCAGACCAATTGATGTGGGCGGGCGGTTTCCGTTGGATCCTCGCGAAAAAGAAGGGTAACAAGTTTTGAGTTGTCCGACAGATAATGCAATTAACACTGATTTAATTTTATTTCGATTCATTTAAGAGTAACTGTACGAATTGGCAGCATGGCCAACTTTACCGAAGAGCTGCTGCGGCTGGAGAGCGAAGCCGCCCAAATTCGAAGTCGAAATCCCTGTCCAAAGCGATTCAAGGCGTCCAGTGTTGAGTACCTTTTTCGCGAAAAGAAACTATTTGTTGACTGGTGCCGCTTTAAGCTGCTGCTTCCTTCGACGCCGTGATCGCCTTTGCTGCTGCTGCTATTGTTGGTCAAACACAAAACAGGAGATAGTAGAAGGTGAAGTGAACTACCACACTTTAGAGGTGAACTCTCCGTTCAATGGTGAACGGCTGGGAGCACTTAGGACAGCACCTGGCTCCTTGCTGCTGCTCACTGGCGCAGTGGACGCAGAGCAGGTGACCGCAGGTGAGCGCCACAACTGCCACATCGGCGGAGTACAGCTGAATTTTGTCTCGTGAGCAGAGGAAGCACCGCCAGACTTCACCCTCCAGCATGGCCACCTTCTGCCTGGCCAGGTCCGCCTCCTTGGCGGCCAGCTCCAGCTTCTGGTGGTACACCTTATTGGCCCGTTCCAGATTTTGGTTCTGCACCTGCAGCTGCGACTGACAGCGTTCCAGCACTTGTAGCTGGTAGATGAGCACCTCAACCAGGTCCTTTACCGAGCCGATGTTCACCTGAGAGGTAGTAGAGCTAGGAAGATGAGAGGTAGAGGCACTGTGCTGCCCTAGCTTTGTTGCTGTTGTTGTTGTTGTTGTTGTTGTTGACCTGCCTTTGTTGTCCACCTCGAGCGTAGATTTGCCATTGGCTTTGGACTTTTGTTTGTTCTTCTTTCGGGCCAGTAAATCGGTAAACGAGCCCTTATGTGTGGAGGATGATGTTTTGCTGGCATTGGCAATGGCGATAGATGGCAAACTTTGACTAGACTGAGAGAGTCTTCTAGAAAGGGTAAGTGGAGAAGGTCGAGTTGGGGGGTGATGTTGTGCCATTGAAGTGGACCCTGCTGACACTGCTGCTGCAGTTAGATGAGTCCTAGGTGAATGGTACATTCCCTCGGAGAAAACATTCACCGTTCTAAAAGAGAGTGAGTAGCTGCTAGCATCAGAGTAGCAGGAGTCAGAGTCACCGCCGTGAGAAGTGCTGGTGGTGGTGGTGGTAGTACTGGAGGATTCATCCGGCCAGGATTGCTTCTTTTTCGGCTTTTTTGCAAAAAATAAGTTTTGACTTGGACTTTCGTTCAGTGTTATGGCTGGTGCAGGTGGTGTGCTAATGGTTGCCGTTGATGGCCGTGATGGTGGTGGTGATGATGATGCTTGCATGTACGCTGGTGGCGGTAGTCCCCTTGGCAGTGTTGCCGACTGGTCGACGCTGTGATCTTTTGTGTTGTTCGAAGTGATCTGACTGAGATTGGACATTGAAGAGTAGCCGCTCACTGGACTACCGTTGCTGCTACTGCTGCTGTTGCTGTTTTCGGAAGGACTGCTCTTGTGCAAACTGTCACGATGCCGGTGAGACTGGTCCTCGCGCCGACTGACAAAAAGTGTGTCCATTGAACCGTACATCAGCTTGTAGAACTTGGTCAGCTTCTCCATCAGTGCTTTCTTTCTGCTGCTTTTTTTCGTTTTTTCAAAACTGTTGCTAAAAAGGACTGCAGTGCAACGTTCTCTTCTGCGAGTTGTTCAATATGAGTGCAGGCCAGTCATCAATTATAGCATTATTGTTCAGAGCTGATAATCAGAGCAAAGGGTGCCAATATTGCCCACTACCAGTGCCACTGGCTCTTACTCATCTAGTCCGTCTGGCTGCTGCTGCTGTCTTTTCTTTCTTGCAGTGCCAATTAACAAATGTGTGTGTGCAAGTGTAATCGGAAAAAAAGGAACAACAACAGGTTGAGTAAGAGTCTGCATGCAAATGTCTACCACTGCAACAGCACACCGAAAACGGCGCAGCAGACAAAGTAAGTGTGCAGACAAATTGATAAAGACTGCCAGTCAGAACTACTTAACGGTGAGTAGTCGGCGAAATGGCAACAGCAGCAACAGCAGAAAAGGTAAGGCAAATGTCAACGAAAGGTAGACATCAAGGTGAATAGATTTTGACAAATGGTGTTGATGTTGAGAGGAAAAAAGAGGTAAACAAAATAAGGGTAGACAGACAAACAAAAACGAAGCGACAACAAAATGGCAGCAGCAGCAGTACTAGTAGCTGAGAGAGTTGTGCTTGTTTACTGGCAATGCAAACAATGGCTGAAATGGAAATAAAGATACACAGTCAGCCAGCTGGTTGCATTGACTAATTGGCGCAGACGTCGGTTCAAGTTGGTTGATACTGAGTGGTCTGCAATGTTGACAATAAGTTTAAATTGGTTAAACAGGTAGAAGAAAGAGAAAGGAATTAAAGGTAAATGACGTTTGAGATATGCATTGTAATCAGCATCATGCAACATCACCAGACTCCACAGGTGATGAGATTGACTCTGCTTGATACACCAGAGCGTTACAATCATAAGTTTTGCTGTGCATTGATAGTGCCTCAAATGACGTTTTCTGTAGCAGGAGATGCGTTTTAGAAAACTTCGTGTTTAATTTTTTCAAACGACGCTTTCAAATAGTAGTGTTTTGGTAAAGTTAAAACTGTAATTATTTTAAACAATTTAAAAAAATTGTTTAGACGTGCCATTTTTATTTTTTACTAATTGATAATGCATTTGTGCGTGCTAATTGTTGGACTGTGTTTATCAAAATGTTTAAAATAAGTATCAATTACAATAAAGTTTAATGTTTTGACTTGTGTAAAAATGAAAAAGTCAGGCTCAATGACTAAAAAACATGCCATTTTACCATAAATGGTAAACAAACATTGAGATTTAAATATACTTTTTATGATATACAGACATAAAAAAATTAGTCAAACAACAAAAACAAAAATTTTTAAAATGACTACTATTTACAACACTGGCACATAATATGCGGTTTAAAACTTAACTACGCAACAAAAATGTTTTTCAATTTAAGCAATCTTTTTATTTGCTATTCATTTGACAAAAACTTTTACATTTATAGGTCGATTTTTTATAAACACTTGCTGATAAAAATAGCTAAAATTAAAATTTTAAATTAAATTTTGAAGTTAATTGCACAGATCCGGATCTGTTAAAGTTTAAATTTATTGCAGCTGCAGTTTTACACAGTTTTTTAAGCATTAATTGTTGTACAGTGCAAATTGTTCAATTAATTGGAAATAAAACATTCAACTTTAAATTCAAAAAAGTTTTAAGGTTACTGGTTAGTGTTTAATTATAAATTAACAAAAATGCTATAAAATTTTGAAAATTACGATTAGTACACTGTTGCACAATTAAAAGTGATAAAAATGCAAACTATTTTAAACAAAAATACAAACATAAAATATTAATACGACCCAATTTGTAGCAAAAATATATTATTAATAAAACAGCAAAATTGCAGTGCAGTTAAACAAATATTTTTTTGTTGCATGATAAAAACAACATTTGACACAAAAACAAAGACCATTTTTAAATTGTTTTAGTTTAAAAATGTTTAAAAACGCTATTTCTGTTTTGTTTAGCACATTTTTTAATTTTGCAACTAGGATTAAATTTGTCAAAAATTTCACTTTTTTTGAATCATACTTTAAAACTGTTCAACAAATAAAAACTAACACAATTGTTGAATTGAATAAATATCCAGTCCATATCAGATTTTTGCGTAAAACTCAAATTCAACTTTACCAATTTGTATTGGTTGTAGCAGTCTTTTTGTTTTTGATACGTTTTTTCACCATAAGACAATTAACTGATCTTACAAACATAATTACCTATGATATATTTTTCATTGAAAATTTTGATGTAAGCAATAATATTTGGCTAGCAAGTTTTTGCGCAATAGCTGTTTATTTTTTTGAATTGATGTACTTTAACAACAACGGAATCACTTTTTTGTGGCTATATAAAATTTTAATTGAAAAAGTTAATTTTCATTTTATTGATTTTTATATTGTTTCAACTAACAAAATTAACAAAAATAAACAAAAATTTCCAACAACAACATCAAAACATGTGGTAGTGTATTTTCAAGAAAAAGCAATTCAGGCATTAAATTTGTTTCAAATAATCTATTACTGCAACATTTTTTATTTTTTGTGTAGTCAATTTCGAACTCTAAATTGGTGCATTAAAAACAACATTTTTGATAACATTTTTTTAGGAACAACAATTTACTTTACTTTTCAACTTTTTTGCATCAGTACTCATTTAATAATTTTTATTGGGTTAAAATCTTTTACCGCAGTGGGTACTTTTGGCATACTTATTCTGCATTTTTGCTTTTCAGCATTACGCATGGAAGATGTGTATTTTAATTCGTTTAGCCCATCTGATTTTAGCAACCATTTGCTTAACAAGTTTCTTTGTTTAAACGAATTTGCTATAAAATGTTTAAAAGATGTAAATAGACTTTACGGTCCAGCTTTATTTGTTTTTATTTTATTTGGAATGCCCACTAATGCTAAAATGGTTATTTCTTTGCTCACCCAACGCTTAAGTCCTCAAAACAAACTAATAATAATAATACTAGCATTATTTCAACTTTCAGTCATTTTTGTAATACATTTTTTTTCAGCTCTAATTACAGTTAAACTGCATCAACCAGCAAAAACATTTTTTAAAATATCATTTGCCAGTAAACGGATAAAATCAATAAAAATGAAACTCAAATTATGCCGATACATTGAACAGTTTTGCAGTAATAATACATATTCTGTGACATATGGAAAATACGGTAAAATAAGTTACGTTTCAATTGGAAAGGTATGAATTTAATAAATGCAAACTAAATTTTTTAATAATTAATAAAGCATTGTTTTAGACTTTATTTTTTTATATAAAGTTTTTAACATTTTCTTACAGTTTAATAAATTCTGTATAAAATAAAAAACAAATTGTTAACAGTTTTTACAATGAGATCAATAAAGATTTTTTTTAAAAAGTCTAGGTTAAATCTTTTCTAGGTAAATATTAAAAAAGGTATTGCAAAAACAACCGGATTACGATTTCATTAAAGAATAAGTGTACATTAATAACTGTCCGTAAAGCAGAAAACACTAGAAAAAGAAAAATTCAGTAATAAATTTGACAGCATCATTACAATTTCACCTGTAAGTAGGTCTTCATCGTTACAAGAGCAAACTTTCCGTATGTTATTCCGTATGGCTTTTCAGAATACAATCTCATTGAATGTAACCAAATCAGTAGTTTACATTTGAACGAACAATTTATGTTTTTACCAGTAAAACAAATTAACATTTGCCCACCTCGTTCAATGTAAGAGTTAAGATGAGCAATAAAAAGGTGCATCATTAAAATACATAAAGCTTGTTGAAGAGCAATTCCTATAGCTCCTACTTTAAATATTGGTGAAGCTTTTTTAAAAGCTAACGAAATAAGGAAAAAAGCATTAATTGGCATATTAATTAACAAAAAAACAAGAAAAATACTGCTAAATAGTTCGTTTACAGAAAATATCATTTGGTAAATATTGACACTGTCTCTAAAATTTGTTTGATGGTCAAACAGTTGTTGATATTGCATTGACAAAGTAGATTTTAGTGAAAAATAATGTTGTTTCAATTTTATGAGAATGTATGTAAAAAGAATCAAAGCTATTGATGCGGTGTGTATCAAAACGTGTGCATAAGCAAACCAAAATGAAAGGTAGTTCAGCAAATGAAAAAAATGAATTGGTAAGAACACTGTCAAACCTAGAAAAGACACAAATAATCTAAAATTTTTAAGAGTGTTTCGAAGAATGTTAATGACAATAAAAGTAAGAATAAAATATAAAAGAATTTGAAATAGATTAAGTCCATTAGTAATTGTCCATGCAATGTTGATCATGATTTCATTGATGGTTACATTGCGATATGTTTTGATAAAGCGAAACGGTATGCAAATTAAATTTTTATTTTTGATAAAAAGTGCTTCAAATAAATATCGGTTAACTTTTAAGTTTGGACTAATATAAATTGTAAAATAAAAATATGCTACCATTAAACTGAAAGTGGCGTAAATAAAATAAAGGTGATCACCTTGAAGTTTTAAATGCACAGTGTCACAGATGATAATTCGAGTGGTTGATGACAAAGGCAAAATATAAAAAAGACAATTCAAAAATGCATAGTAAAGAACGAAAGCTGTCAAAAATTGAATTTGTTTCAATTTACTGTTTTTTGGATCATCGACAATTTTGTAAACTGTATTAATATAAGTGGCGTAGGTGTCTACGCTTTTGTACGGGTTTAAAATTGACCAAAAATAAACTGTTAAATTAGATTGAAAAATTTGACTTAATATATTTGACATAGTAAACTTAAAACAAGTTTTTTGAATTTATGCTTATAAAGCAATTTAAAAACCTGAAATTTTGTAAAAATGATTTTAAAAAGACATTTACAAACATTTTATTTTATTTTTTATTTAATTAAAAAAATTTGTGTTTAAAGAAATTGTTTCTTTTAACATTTAACAAAAACAATATTGACACGACTAAAACAATATCTTTAAGCTAACAAACAA